TGAAAGAGGATCATACGGGACTAAGGGCGTTAAAGGGTCAACGAATAGACTATTCAAGCCTCTTAATCGAAATGGAAACAGAGTAATGAGCAGAGGACATTTCCGTTCTTAGCTTCTCTTCTCCTCTTAGGAATAGTGGAACCAAATAAGTGTAGAGCATTTCAGGTTTGATATTACAATGGCAAATTCTAGTACTGGAAAACGGTATAATGCGGAAGCTATTGGCTTTTCCGATTGACAGTAAACTTAATGACAATGGTTTGGACATTTTAATGGTTTTTTTTGAAATTTCGATTGCATTAGTAAATGCCAATGTCATACCCGACTTATTTGCAAACCCACATCACCATCCTGGCCTATTTGTAGATCTGGAGGTGCGTATTTACTCTATCTTAGAAAATCTGAGTTTGTGTCCCCGGGAGGAGGGGTGTGCGATAGACTTACCTCCACGTGGTGCATCTTGGGCAACGTATTCTCATACGGCAAAAAAGTCTATTAACCGGCATTTGACTTCTGACTTCAAATTACCATAACCCCACTGGATGCCATATTCGACCCCTTCACAGTACTCACCTTACCTTTTTCTCTACCTTTATGTCTGTCTGCCTCTTTTACATCTGTGAATCGCTCATCTGTTCCAGCCCCTCGACTTTCTGCTACTTTGATGAACCTTCCCTCTGTGAAGCCCGAAGTCAGCTAAATGGCCATTGATAGCTATCAAAACGCCTGCCATTTGAAATAAATAAGTGTCCGGAAGGAGTTATATACCGATAAAGAACGAATTGGCGTTTCTATTAGGTAAACAATGAGCCGACGTACCATTCATAGTTCCATGCGCCCATATATTAAAGATGAAGAAGGTACTCTCAAAGCCAACAGCCAGAGCGTCGCCGTCTCTCACAAGACAGAGCGCTTGGATATGCGAATTGGCAGTCGAGGAGGGCGGAGTGAGCACAAGAAGGCGCCGGTGACGTGAAGCCTCTCGAACGATCTCGTAGACGCAGATACCACCACCACCGCCACCGCCACCACTGCCGGCGGCACAAAGGAGATAAGCGGTTCGACTTCGGGACCAACCGTGAGCTAGGAAGTTCACACCTGACTTGGGTTCCGACACGCGAATCTTCTCGTAGTTCATGCCTTCGATGGTGCCTGTTAGAATTAGACGGAGACGCCGTTGCTTATCTACAAAATAAGTTAGCCCCAGGTGAGATTGGGTCATAAAAATTGAGACGGTGAAATTTTCGCAACGCTCGGTTTAATGCATTTAATCCGGTGTACCGGCACCACCGTGATCGATATAGCTGAGCAAGAGGTCATGGACTCGATTCCCATAAAAGGACACACCCAATGAGCGGCATGTACTTGACAGAATTCGAGTCGCTGCTCAGAGTTCTCAATGATGTCGCTCTCCACTCAAGATGAGTGTTAAAAAGAACGTTTTCCTACATGAGGTTATATCCAATAAAACTCTCGCCTATTCGGCCGCACTATTGCTAGTTTAATCCATGAGAAAATGGTCGAGGCGAACCTGAAAGAAATTGGTAAAGAAACAATAACGATTTGGAGCCTAATTTGAACTGACCGAATGCGATAATCCTCGGTTGGAAGTCAAGACTTTCTGAAAGCTCTGTGTGTGTGTGTGTGTACCGATAGCACTTTCAAAACACGATGTGAACACGAGAGCTAGAAGAAGTTAGGAGATACTTATCCACTCGAAATGAATGGAGCTCAGTAAAGTAGATTCGGGCTAACCACAAACTAGAGAGATCTGAACCTATACAACTTGGAAGCCACATGCATTTGTGCTTTCTTCGACTTTCAAGGCAAACAATGCTGTTTTTTGAAACAATATTCAGTGAAACCTTCGCCAAGAAGAGTTTGCACCCAAACTCTAACCGACCTCAATATCTCGAACCACGAAAGCCTTAAAAGCACCAACCAATCAAAATTCATAGCACTGAAATCAGCTCCAAAACCGTT